ACCTCTGATCCAGAGTGCTTTGGGGGAAACTGCCTCTTCAGAAGCAATGGTGCTATACTACCTTGCAAAAAGATAAATAAAGCAACATAAGGAAATAACAACTAGAAAACGGACAGCATTTCAGCTTAAATAAACACAACACACAGTCAATATTGTAAGCTGAACACACTATTCTCAACACTGATCACTGCCCCCAAACTATTGCCTCAAATCTAATACCCTCAGGTAAAACTGATTCCCCCAAATACTGATGCTCGCAGGCCTGATACCCAGACTTACAAACTGATACATGTATTCTTGTAGAGACACAGTCTAAAAGCACATAGAAAGCAAGTGGGAGCCAAAACACCCCTATGGAGGGGTAGGGTTTCCTTGTCCTATCTTGTCAGGAGCTAGGGTTTCACTACGTACGCAGCGGTTTCAAACAACCTACAATCAGGTAAGCAACCTGTCCTAGTTTGGAATAGTCACTACGGATTCCGATATGCACTAGGTCGAATGGTTAAAGGGTGCCTCGGTAAAAACCAAGGTTTGTGCTCCCATCGTGGCAGAGCCTGTAACCGGTCAGCCTTATGGCACGCTTTTCCAAGCAAGCCTCCAGTAAACCGTTCAGGAATAGCAAATGGCAAACATGATATCTTAGGCGCACCAATGCAAATGCAATGCAAAGAAACACATAAGTGTAAACAAAACAACATATCATGAGTTCGAGTCAAGTTCTTTAAATCCCCAGCAGAGTTGCCAGAAACCGAACTCTGCTCCGTGCACGAGGGCGCAGATTGTAGTTCTTAGCTACTATAGTTCGGACTCCTGTCACGGTCCTGAATCTAATCTCACAATGTGCAATGCAAGACTGATAAATCACCAAAGAGTCTAAATCCGGCAAATCATTTTGGAAAATCAGATTTTGAATCAAAAAATGCCAAACATGGACTGTTTTTCCAGATTTCAGAGTTGCCACCTAAATATTTTGTTTTTGAGAAATTTAGGAAACCCTGACTCGTGCCAAAGGCCACGTGTCCGTCATTACCAAAGTTGCCTCGGCTCGAGAACTTGGGTACGAGAGGGGAAGATCCTGAAATGAGCACCCCTGCTCGCCCGATCAAAGGATCGGCGTCTACTAACATGATATGTTGTTTTTGAAAACACATGCGTTCTTATTCTGATTTATTAATCTAGAATTACTATGTGATGCGCACAACATATAAGTATAGACTAAATCACTCAATTTGGAACAAAACATCTCATGTTTGTTTTTCGAAAATGGTTTGAAATGCTACTCACAAGTAGGCTAAATCACAGATTTGCCACCCTCAAGTGGGCTTAAAACGCACATTTTGACGAATTGTTCCAATTCAAGCGATAAAGCCTTCACCCACGGGCATTCATGCAGTTAAACACATAAACAATTAGCCTCATGGCAAGCATGCTATCATGGCAGTCACTTACACACATGCAAGGATGCTAAAGCATAAACACTCACAGTGTACTCCAAGCTAAAAAAGAAGCTAGTTAGTAATCAATGCATGATCCTAGCTATGTCAAGAATGTCTAATGCAACACATGCAAAAATGTAACTAAGATAGGCTCGGCTATTCTAAGATGTCATGTGAATGCAATTAGATAACATGTATTCAAATTGGTATTGAAATACAATGCAGTTTGTATGATGCGCCGAGTCTGGTGCATGCAAGACAGATGAATGATGCACGCATGCAAACATAAGTATGCTAATTGAAACATGCCCTAAAACTAACCATCAAAAGCTGGTAAGTAAATGGGAGAAAGAAGTAGGGTTAGAAGACATGCATCACACACACGCACGCTTATTACAACAGTTTGCCCTTTCGACGGAGAGTCCGAATAATTAGGAAACTAGCTAATCTAAGCTAATTAAACTAATTATTACAAACCAAAACTAATTAACTAATCCTAGTTAACTAATTAGTTATTACAACACAAATTGATTTGAACAATTAGCTAATCTAAGCTAATTAAAGCGCTAATCTAAGCACAAAACGAATTAATTAATTAAACGCATTAACTAATTAATTACAAAACAGACGAATGCTAACTAAGATAACAACTTATTCTAAGTTAACAAAAGTGCTGAAATGGCCTCAGGATGAGGGATGCATGTATGCTCAACTTTGCTCAGAAATCCATCACTATGCCCCGAATTGCCTCTGTTTGCATTTGATCTCTGGAAGGTGCACTGACTTCCAAATAGCTTCTACTCCAACATGGGAACCTTCTGGTGCATTGCCGACCAGAAAAATGGTGGTATAGACCACCTGTAGACCACCTAAACATGCTGCGGACTAGAAAAAGTGGTTGGCCAACTACTTTTTCTGGTCTGCCGACCAGAAATTCCTGCCAAGCTCCAATTTGCTGCAACAGAGAACAAAAAGGGGCACAGCAGTGTATTTGCAAGGTATGTGTGCACAACCACCCTCCCTATCATTTCTCGAGCTCAAGGAAGTGTGTGCACAACCACCCGCCACCCACCTGCCACCACCACCACCTACTCGTTACCACCCACCACCCGCCACCACCATCCACCACCAGCCACTCACCACCACCAGCAACCGCCACCTACCACCACTACCACCCACCCACCACCCACCTGCCACCACCACTCACCACCACTACCCACTCGTTACCACCTGCCACCGTCACCCACCCACCCACCACCACCCGTTACCTACCACCCACCGTCACCACTTTTCACCACCGTCTTCCCCCACCACTTGCCACCACTTGCCACTTCTCACTCTTTTTATATTTAGATTTTTTTTTAAACATTTTGTCAATTACCAAACGTGTTTGTAGTTTATGTTTTTCTAAAAATAAACAAAAAATAAATAAAAACCAATTTATAAAATTTTTGTAAATATAAACTGAAAACGTAAACGTTACCAAACACACCAGTAATTTGATTTTCACTTCTTTATCTCAGTTCATACACATCACATTTCAAATATATCCTCACTTTCTCTGTGCATATCCTCTCCTTCCATCCTTTTTCACTCTAAAAACCTTAACCCCAACTGCACCAACTACCGACGATGGTGGCAGCGACGACATCAACCACCGCCCCTTCCCAGCCTCTCAGCCATTCTCACACAACCCCCCATGCTACCGTCACCTCCATCGCAATCTTCTTTTCAAAAAATCCCAACTCTCATTTGTCTTAGGTGGTTTTATCACACATACACACACATACACACATACACACACACACACACACACACACACACACACACACACACAAACACACACAAGGTTCAAGTGTGATTAAGCTGATCAATTATTCAATTTTTTCTCATATATATATATATATTTGGGTTTGGATACAGTGTCTTAGGGTTTGAGAGTTAGAGTAAAGAAGACAAACAACAACCATGTTGTTTAGGCCTAGTGCGAGAACCGAGGTTCGCCGAAACCGTTACATGGTCGTCGTTGATGCCGAGGAGGGATGGAGACGGAAGAAGGACAACATGGTTGAGATGCGCAAGAGTAAAGCTTTTATTTTTACAATAATAAGATGATTTTAAGACTATCAACATCTTCAAACACTTGATATACACATCACAAAATTCCTACACATATATATATATATATATATAATTTCTTTTTATGAGTAGTCATTTTAATCACAAGGGCATAATCTAAAAACTTCACTAATAAAAAGAAATGAGAGGGTTGAGAGGGTTGAGAGGGTTGAGAGAGTTTTCTTACCTTATAGTAAGATTCAAATGGGTGACGAAATGGTAGAAAATTTTTGCTTCCTTAACCTTCCTCTACTAATTTTTTTTTTTTGTTAGACTCTCCTCACCCGTCAAAGGCATGCATGTATATTTATAGAAATCCTGTTGAGTCTTCATGTGTTTATATAGTAATCTTGTTGAGCTTTTTCCCCTCTCACTCCCTCTTTGTTTTTCTCTTTATCATTATGCTATCCACTACAATTCTCCCTAACCCAAGAATGATGATGAGATGGAATTTTCCAAGCTTACATGCAAGCTTGCAGGTGGCACATACCTGCCAAGAATCTGATTCTTCCCCCCTCCCCTTTTTTTTAACTAATAAATTATAACAACAATTATTGAACATCCACAACATTTTTATTCTTAATAAGGTCTTTGTTAGTGATTGAATTGGGTTAATTTAAAACTAATTTTTTTTTATACTATTATATATTTTAGGTAGATTCTGAATAACATTAATTAATTTATTTACTTTTAAGAATAATTTAAATATGAGTTTTCACAACTACAATTTTGTAGGATTAAGAATTAAACATATTACTAAGTCTGATGTTATTTGTGTGATCCAAACATAAAAATATGAATTTGATAAAATTAACAATTCAATCCTATGTAAGGGCCATTTTGGAAACAAATAAAAAAAAGCCAGCTTTTGTCTAATTTTCAAAAAGCCAAATGCCAGCTTATTTGAGCAAAATTTCATTTGAGAAATTGGAAATAAGCCAACAGGTGAAACTACCGAAATACTCTAGTCTGTATGGCTTTTGATTAGGATAATATGGTAATTTCACAAAAATACACGGGAATAATATAATAAATTTATAATTTTATAGGTGATGTGACATCATATTATAATAAACTTAAAAAAAGTCAAAAGACTACTTATTTAGGGAATATGTCTTCTCATATTCTCCAATCACCCAATACAATACTCTACCTACCCATCTTCTCTACCAATCATAATACTATAGAATATCACGCGTCTATACTGCAAAATTACTGAATAATTACCCATTTATTTAATACTTCCTAAATAATTTTGTAAATATTCCAAAAAATAAAGAAATAAATTAAAAAATTATTATTGTTATTTTTTTTCATCTTCTCAAAACAATCCTAATTATTCTGAAATCAAACACGCCCAAAAGGTGCTCTGATTGGGTATAATTGTTTTGCACGTTTTGCTCATTCTTTTTTTTTTTTTTTTAGAAAGGTCAATACAAATAACAACTAAACAGACTCAGCCCGAATAATCTTACATAAATCAGCTGGCACATCATTCCTCCAAACTCTCTTACCGATCACATGACCCGCCATACGAGCCAGCCCATGAGCAGCCTTATTTCCATTGCGCAACACATGCGAGCAGCAAAAACTGGTGAAACAGCGGCTTGTACTCAGAGCACCTTGAAGAATATGGCCAAACGTGGAGAGCAGATGATCCTCACATTGCAAAGCTTTTATAATGGATAAAGAGTCCCCCTCCAAGTGAATATGATGCAGACCCAGTTCTGCCCCGAACGCAATCGCACTTGCCGCGGCGAAAGCTTCAGCACAATCTGCATCAACCCAATGCGGCAGTCGTTCCGACATGGCAGCAAGAACTGTACCATGCGCCTCCCGAACAATCACACCTACCCCAATGGCCTCCAGAGCATCAAAAGTCGCCGCATCGAAATTAATCTTTAACACACCCACTGGCGGTGGCCTCCATCTCGACGGACTAGGACAGACCTGCAATCCTTGAACTTGGGCTCTGACTTGACAGAAGTCTTGTAAATAAGTACACACTGTCTGCACAATCACCGGCGCAACCCGCTTAACATTATTGAATATGGCTTGGTTTCGAGCAAACCACAAGCCCCAACACAGTGCAAAGAACAGCCCCAAGCCGGCCTCATCAACTTGTTTCGCAACCTCAACTACCCAATGATAAAAATCATACCCCACCCCAATATCTGTAACAAACGGCAAAGGACTAGCAGCCCATACTTGTTGCGCCACATCACATTCCTTAACACAGTGCATTAAAGTCTCCACAGCTTCGTCACAATAGTCACACCCAAGTTCAATAGGCACTCGGCGTTGCCATAATCGGTCCCGGGTGGGGATAATATTCAAGCAAGCCTTCCATGCAAAACCCTTGATCTTGTTCGGAATTTTTAGGTGCCAAACCCCTTTCCAAAACCGCCGTGTGGCTTCCCCTCTATTGGACGATTCCGGAGATGATCCAATTCTGGACAGAGTCATTTGTAAATGATAAGCCGACCGAACCGAAAACCTCCCATCACGAGTATAATGCCAAATCAATGTATCAGAAGGCAGGCAAGGGCTAATAGGAATTTTTCGAATCACATCCACATCAACATCAAGAAAATGGGTCTGTAGCCTGCCCAAGTCCCAGCACTTACGGGCTGAATCTAACAAAAAACTTACCGTAGTATCCTGAGGAAGAGAAGGAGGAGAACCTTATCCATATAAGTTTGAATTTGAATTCAAAACTTATTTAGATAACCATTTAGGATATCTATATCTATCATATCAATAGATATGGATAGATGAATAGATTGATATATATGTGGTTATATATCAGATTATATGGTTAATCTATGAGATACGTATATGAGATATACGTTTTGTGGTTTTTACCCATAACCATTTTTCCCATACTCTCTCTCTGACTTTCTCCCAAAAAACAACAATCAAGCCATTTTGCACTGTGACTTGTGCGGGTGATACTCATTTTGTAGTATCACTCCATTACTGGGTTTGTTGACTTATCAGATTTTGGAAGCACGTGATTTACCCACGAGGTTGTGTCATTAAGGTATGATACGAATTATTTTTATCCGCTGCATTAATATATAATGCTTTATGATTTATATTGGTATCAGAGCCTAATATGGGTATTTTCGTGCTTAGTTGTATACGATAAAATATGTGTATAATTTTATACAAATATACATACATATTATTTGCATGAAAATTAGATTGAGAATGTGATACATCTCATTTTTATGTTCATTAAATGTTATTTTTAATGCCATAGATGTTTTTATTGTGAAAAATAGAGTCCGACAGTACAAAAATCGAACCAGAAAACACCTTGGAAGGCGGAACGTGGGCTTCACGCGCCACCTGACGCCGTGGGAGGCTTCCACGCGCCTCCATGCGCTGTCACGCGCTGTCATGCGCCTCTATGCGTGCGCTGTTTTGCGCTTCCCACGCGCACCCTCAGCGCCACACACACACGCTGCATTCTGAGCCGCCCGTCGAGCCGCGTGCTGAGCCCCGCCCTGAGCCGCGCCCTGAGCCGCGAGTCGCACCGTTTTTCTTCCGCCGGCTTGGCTGCTGATATAAGGGTCTGTTTGTTTTGTTTTTAAATTCAGAATTACGTTAAATGGTCATAATTAATTCGTTATAGCTTTGTTTTAAGCGTGGCTAGTACCGTTAGACTCAGAATTATATTTTCTATCTTTTGTAAAATTTTAAAAATTTTATGAAAATAAAAAGTATTTTTCCTGTGATTATAATTCATTATTTATGCTTTAAAATGCTTCTTGTATTGCATAAATTATTTTCTGGGGTTAAATTTTTTATTGTAGACTTTTGAAATGTTTTACTATTTACTGGAATAATTTTTTCAGTTTGTCAGATTCTGAAATTTTTTATTTCTAATTTAATGTGTGTTTATTAGTTATTTAGAATTCCAGAAAATTTCAGAAAAATTTCAGAAAATTTCAAAAGTGATACAGTTTCTGTTATGGCATAATTTGAATATTAAATACAGCATATTGTTTTTTTTAGGGATTGTAATATGTTGTAATTAGAATAGTATGATTAATTATTTTTTTATTTTAACTCTGTTATTAAATGTAACATAACATGAGTTGATTGTGAATCTACATTATGATGCTATTGTATAGAATTAGAATATTTTATCATGCTTTTAGATATGCCATAGTCAGTGGGAGGTTATTCGGTTGAGAGAAATCTTTGTAGATTAACTCCCGAAAACAAATATTTTGCGCATAAATTAAATTAACTTTTGGATAATTGTCACCTGTGGCGCAAGAGATGATTACGAGCATAGCGGATTTTCAATCTTGCGACTTGTGTAATATTGTCACTATTTAATTTAGATTTTTGTGGCAAAATTATATTATACTAATCAAATTAATCTCAATGCGAATTTCTCTCTAAATTGACTTAGCTTATGGAAGTTAATTGGTTGACCTAGACTTAGTAAAGATGTTCAAATGTGAACAATGTAATCCCATTCTTTAGATGAGCAAAAGTCTTGGAGACTTTAGGTCAAGTCTTAATTGAGCCAAAGTAAGGAAACATGACTCAAACTCTCCGTGGTTTTGTTGCCTTGTTTGGTATAATAAAAACTAATGTGTGCGCTATAGTTAGCAGCACGCTACATAGTTTTAGTAGGTGATTTTAGAGTTATGAAATTAGTAAGCCCTCAATAGATCTGTATATGATCTTGACTATTGAGCTGCGCCGATTGATTTTGTAATTTGACTTGTAAATAATGTTACATCATTAGATGAAGTAACATTCAAGAGTCACGTCATCTAAGAAATGCGAGCTTAAATAAATTAGTCATTAAGTGTAAGACGAGTAGCCAGTATGAGCAGTGTTTTGCTCTCTACCCAATTATTGGGAGTGGATGGAGCAAAATTTCATGCACTATAATAGCGTGCGTTTAAATATCACGTGAAGTGAAAAGATTAGCGCTTAGTGGCTGCAAAATCTATTAACACTAAGTGAAAAAATTAGCACTTAGAAGCTGCAAAATCTATTAACATTATGTGAAAAGATTAGGACTTAGAAGCTGCAAAATCTATTAGCATTGCCAACTTGTCTAAGTCTGGACACTTACTGTTTCCACACTTGAGTGTGAGACATGAGGAGGGGGCTTCTTTGTATGATTCCTTAGCTAGGCTAACGTTTTTGAATAACGTTTACCACTAAACGCAAACGTTGCAGCATAGTAATGAAAAGGTCAAGGCTGA